AGAAGGAAATATCTGTATATACTTTGACAATTTTGATATAAAGATCAAATGCTGTTTCTGAGAGAGGGTCGACAATGCATTATCTGCATCCATCTCTTATTTTCATTTTTCCCAGCATTTTGTATGTTTGACATGTCCCTCCTTTCCATTTTCACTTTTCCTTTGAGTAGTTCTGTTCTCCTGTTTATAATCAATGTAAAATAAAAACAAATCAGTGGAATCATAGAATTCTTTTCCAAAAGCTCTAAGACTCATTACCCATTCTAAGAAAACTTAAAGCTTTTAGCTACTGATGGCCAAGAAGGCTCATTATACTTGAAACATATGATCCTTTTACAGCATTAGATCAATGGTTGTGTTAATTATTTCATAGAATACACTTCTTCATAAAATATATACCTACTAGAGATAGTATTGGATCCTCTTCCAACATATGAACTGTTGAATATATGATAGAATTGATTTCTTGGTAAAACAAAAAAAAAAAACAAAAATGGTCTATTTACTTATAGGACCAAGTTTGGGTATATTGACTCTCCCTAGATCTTGTAATGATGGGAGGTTTGTGGATCGGGTTTCCCCTTTTACTTATTGGTAAAAGACAAGTGAAGATGAGGCAAAATATCTATTCACTTACATTAATGAAAGTGAGGTAAAACCAAATATTTTGAACATATCATGATCCTCCGGTATTGGTTTGATGGTTCTGTTATTTAGATATTATCGTTACCTTAATTTTTTGAAGACTATACCTAACCAAATTTCTCATATGTATGGCCCTTGCATAACTTTTATTTTTTATATTATTTACAAGAAAAAAGTCTCTAGTTATTAATTTAACATTATGTCGAAAACTTAGTTCATGATCTTATTGGTTCTTATCCAACGTAATTATGTGACCAAGGTAGGCAGATAATGAGCTTCATTAGTTATTTACCTCCATATAAGTTTTAAGTGAGACTTGGCAACAAAATATCTCCGTACCTATCTTGCTTATTGTTAGAATATCTAGAAAATTTCTTTTCTAACTGCTTTTACTGCTAGGTGCCATTGTGTTGTTTTGGGTTAACATTGTTAGTCAGATATTTCCTATAAGTTCCACAGGTGTACTTTGTTTTGGAGCATTTGTGATGAAAAAACAATTGTAAAGCTATGTAGAATCTCGATTAACTTGACATCATCGCATGCATGTTGGTGCATGTAGATTGGATAAAATTTGCTTGAAGCAAGGATTTTAATTTCAAATAATATCTCCCGTACCGAGCGATACGTACCAGTCTGCCAGCAGATCGGTACGCTACCTGACGGTACCATTGATTGGGGCTGCTTTCGCCCCGTTACCACCCTAAATCGGTCGGTAACGGTCGATTTCGACTGTTGCCACCCGCTCCCAGGTGGTATTAGCCGAGGGAGAAGAAAGAAGAGGGAGAACTTGGAGATCCGACACCGCTCTCCATCGACGATCCCGATCCGTCGCCGGACGCCACAAATGAGATGTTGCCTCCTCCTCGTCTGAGGCAACGAGGCCTCGGCGTTGTAAGCGGCTTCTCCTCATCCGCGTAGGGAGAAGAAGCCTCGGCGACGTCGCGGGGAGAAGAAACGAAGTGTCGTCAAGGAGATGTTTCTTCTCCCCATGCAGGCAGAAGAAACGAGGCGGCGACATCGTCGCCTTGCGCCCTTTTTTGTGTGGGGAGAAGGAAACCTCGGTTTCTTCTCCCCACGCGGGCAGAAAAAGGAGGCGACGTCGTCTTTTTTTTTTACTTATATATATACACACACACACGCCGAGTGATACACCTTGGTGTACTGCTTGGTACTCTGTACCATACCATATCGAGCTACGCTCGAAACTCCGGTACGGTACGAAACTACGATCCTTGGCTTGAAGTGCTTTGAAACTCTAGACCTCAACTTTGTTTGTATTGGGGCCTGTTTGGACTTTATCTTGGGAAATGATCTGTTTAACTGCTTTGTTGTCACAATTATTGTAGGTTTAACATCACAAGTATTATCATTTTCTACTAACCTTTGTTGTTCTTAAATTATAATACTTGGTTATGTTTTCATATGTATGGCAGTTTGTCTTTAAAAAATTTAGAAAGGGATATCCTCTCATTTATTATCATAACAACTAATAACTAAAACATAGTTCGTCTAGCATATCTTGCCCTGTTAAATGATTCAGATAATGTTATAACATGGAAAAATTGGGACATTATGGTTTGTTGTTGTTGCTGCTGTTATCATCATCAGTTGATTATTTAATCATCAATTTCTGTCTCAGGTTCTGCAAGTGTGAGATGCCTTACAACCCCGATGACCTTATGATTCAGTGTGAGGGCTGCTATGATTGGTAAGTTGCTTTGTTAATATTGATCATCTTTATAGTGTTACTTTTCCTTTCCAAGGAAAGGGAAAAATTATATTACTTGATTAAAACAAATTACATTCTAGAAAGGACCAAATAAATTTAGCAAACAAATCTTCGATATAATGAAATATGAATTAGATCATCACTTTCAAGGTTACATAGAAAGCACACCCTAGATTCAACGATAGTTGCTCAAGCAAGAAATCTTGAAGTAGACAACTGAGGCCACTGACCATTCAAAAGTTTCCAACAAAAACACAACACACTGAGTATAACATGAATCTTCTGTAAGGACTTCCAATCAATGTTCTCCTCTCTATAATTGGCATGTTGGTGAATCAAGAAAGAGTGTAGATCTAGTTGATGGTTGTCCTTTTGAGTTAGGTTTCCAAATCCATTTGTCCTACTCATAGGGGAAGTGAGATAAATCTATTGAAGTAATGCTTTTGAAGTAATACTTAACATCCAGAGTTATGGAGGAATTATAAGTGGCCTTTCTCTATTTTTAATTTAATCTGCCTTTTGCCAATGCCATATTTTAAGACAATTCTTCTGGAGTTACTATGAGGTGAAAATTCCTACAATGTATTTACTTTTTGGAGGGATCATAATCTGATTGATAGAAATTGTTTGGCCTCATCGTGATGTGCTACCAACAGCTGTAAATGACAATTAGAAAATGAGAGCAAGATTGAATACACATGTTTGTGCTTATAACAAGTATGAATCATTATATGTGTTTGGTTAGAATAAATTGTTAATGTTGTTATCAAGATAATTTCATCAATCATTATATGTAACAATTTCCTTGTTACTTTGACTTTGAAATCTAACAACAGACGCTAAAATAAACCTATATTAAAGAGCTCGAGTTTAGCGAGGAGTCAATTGGTATGTGAACTTTTACTTGAATAAAGCTTGAGTTTAGTTCTGTTACACTGCTAAATACGAGTTGCCACCCAAAATATTTTGTTACCTTTCATGCTCTTTTGTGTAGTAAAGATTTTCATATTCTTGATTGATCCATTTCTTTTCATGTGACTTATACATGCTACAAGAACTATCATTTCGTGTTTGTAGATCTTAAAACATCAATGGTATTCCTGTATTCTCCCTGTTCCAGGTACCATCCTACCTGCATAGATATGGCTGTTGAGGATGCTAAGAAAATTGAGCACTTCTTTTGTCAGAGTTGCACAACTGAAAATGGGAAGGAGACAGAAAAATCCCATAATGGTTCAAAGCAATCAGATATGAAGGTAACTGATTTCAGTAGAGTGCATGTGTTGACCTATTTTCTCATCTGCACTTCACAGGAAGTTAATATTTACAAGTATATAGTATTGTGATATAACACATGGTAAGATTAACTTAGCAAGGACATCCATAACAGTTTGATGCCCATATTTTAGATCATTCATGATTAAGCAGCACCAATACCTAATGAGATAATGTCGCAACATTTAGAGATGCCTACATAAGATATTCCAGATCCAAGTGTCTACAGAAGTAGTAAGTTTCTTCAATTTTTTATAGAAAACGATGGTCTCAATTTTGATGCATTTCTACTAACATTACTGGTTTAACTTGCGAGTCCCAAGCCTTCCAGAAGATGTGGAAGACTTATTTGAATTTCTTCCGAAACTCAAGCCTCTTCTATGTCCATCATCATAGTATGGGCAATCATGCGCCATTACCTTGCCTAAAAAATGGTGCTATATGGTACAAAATAATTTTCAGTTTTATGACTTTCTTCTCTGGTGTTTTGTGTGTTGTGGGTGCCAAGCACCTTAGACTTACATTTTCAGCTTTCATGATTAAGTACATTATTTAGTTCTTTAACTTATTTTACATCCATTGTGTTTATCCATTGAGCTTGTTGAGTAATATTTGTTCAACCTGCGTCAAGTTAAAAGAATTTCATTTATGAGCAGGTGGATCCCAAACGACGACGCAGATGATGTGTCAGACTCAAGTTCCTTCAGAAGATTGTAGAGTAGTATGCATGTTTAAGGTTGGTGACTGATGCTTTTACTAGTGTTTGCGTTGTATAGTACTTCGCATGGTCGGTTTCATGTACATATATCGTGGTATATGTTTCTTACAGTCAAATGCCTAGTGGGGAACCATTAAGTGTCATCTGATCTGAGTGATTATTCAGGTTTGCATCATAGAATATGTATTGTAGAATCTGCAGTAAATTCCCCATTTTGAGCAATAATAATAGTTCACTAGTTGTCGCTCTATCACTTTTTTCTGTTCTCAGATTGTTGTCGTGTTTAGCTGGAAGCGAGTTTGATCTCGATGATTGAAGGGTGCCTCTGTTTATGTTGATGTTGAAACTTTTTCCTGTATGCATGTAGAGTTAAAAGAACACATGATTTGAGGATGCTTCATCTCTCTCTGACCATTTTTTTTTTCTTTTTGGTCTCAGTATTATTATTATTTCAAAAAGTCATCATCTTTTTGGACTGTATTTCAAAAAATACAGACCAAGAACTGATATTCAGCGCCGGGACTCCCAAGTCGCCGGCTGTATAGTATTTGAGGAACATAAGAAAGATCACCAAAACTTCACTTTTTTTTTCTTGACTTGCTGACTGTATGAACAACAAGGTATCATTGTGTGAAATACTGACATGAGACAAACTTATTTTAATAATTATTTTTCCATTGAAAGAATGACATGAATCACGTTTGCTGTTGAGGATGTGTATAATAATTTACATTGCTGTACAAGACATGACACAAACTAACATGTACATTTTGATGAGAGTCCCTAATGATCAGGCAAAAGGGGCAGGCGAGTAACTCTAGAACCCACATTCAAACTGGTTAGATCATTTAGGTCGACTTGCTCGATCGATTCTGATCTATCGCCCTTAGCGGGCAAGCTTTTCTTACTTAGCTTCACCGGAAGAATCTGCAACCTGGAGTTCAGCTCGGTGCCTGATCTCTTTGCGGCTAATTGATAGCTCTCCACAAGCTCCAGCTGACGAGCAATTATCTCTGAGCATCTCGGAAGGAGTTCGACGGGCTCTCCACCGGGAATTACGATATACTCGATAGCCATTCGGACCTCCTACATTCAGCAGTGTATATATTTGTTAAGCAACTATGAATCAAGTATGAAGACCGAAGTGCAACTGCAGGAAACTGGAAACTGGAAACGAAAGAAAACCTTATGCTGTTCCAGAAAGTTTATATCTGGTTAATCAAATTTGCACACATGCCTATCCCTCGCAGCCATTGATACTTGATATTAATCTAATATAGAATAATACACCTAATGAACATTGCCATGATAATTTGCTGTTTGTTGATCATGATATATTAGGCACCTCATCTAAATCTAAGCCAAGTTATTCACCATCCTAACATCAGGTTCGGACTGATCTACGAATACAGATTATTTTATACGAGCAAGTACATAGAGGTGCAAAACATAAAAATTCCAAACTAAAGTTGTATTACATTTCATGCAAAATGATCTAAGACATTAGTTTGTGATGATGGAAAATGTGGACAATGTAGCATGTACAAGGTTTTCATGATATGATGCACATACCTCCAATGCATCAATTTCCTCCAAGGTAGGTTTTCTCATAGGTGCATCATCTTTGACCTCAATGTCCTTATGCATATGTTTGGTTGATTCATTTTGTGTAGATCCAAAATTATTCATCCCAAGAATCATTTTAACTGCCTTCACCATTTGGGCCATAGTATTCTCCTGTAAGTAAAAACAAAGGACCATAAGAATACAGGCAAACCAGGAGAATCAAACAATGAGATCAATTACCTTAATCACAAATATAGGCAGCTGATGGAATTTCGCAACACTGCGAATCCAAGGATTTTGCTTCATTTCAGAAGTTGATGCTAGAATCGCAGTTGCTGTTCCAATGTCATCAGTCACATCAATGTCATCCTCATACCCCATGACAGTTGCTACTTGCAGTAGATCAGCTTCCAAGATCTAATAGAGGACCAATACAGACATAAGAGCCACCACATGAAGTTAAATTTTACATCAATTAATCTGATCGAATCAACATCTCTAACTATAATTTATTTCATGTAGCCATTCAGCAAACAATAAAGGAACAATGTGGTGAAGTAGATAAATCAAATTGCTTCCAATAAGCTGTGAGAATGGCCATTCGGAGATTCACTTTAAATGGCAATGTTACCACCAAGGGAGATGCCTACAACAAATGAGGACAGTGCTTGGGATATAAAAGTAGTCACTGCTTATCATGTCAGAGAGATTTCTTATTATACATGATTAAAAGGAGATGTTTGGTCATGCGAACTAAGAGTCACAGCTGACAAGAAGGAAGTCTCAAATTTAAGAATATGAAATGAAATTGGATGGAAGTGGTACAGGAGGCACTTGAAGCTTGTCACTGAGTTAGGGGCATACCAGGACTCGCACCACAATAAGCAATTATGTGATAAGAAGTAGTTGAGTTCTTTCTACATCACTCTTTTTATTGGAGGACTAGTGGTTCAAGCCAAAGTGAGTACGAGGACATAACCTTCTTTTGGAATGAACCATAGCATGTGAATGCAAAAGCACAGTTAAGATGCATGAACTTTCCCACAAATTCTGAAATATTTCACAATATAGAACTGAGTTTGATATGTACCTTATAAGTATATACGCGAACTGGTAATCTCCTTGGCATAGATGAATTACTTCTTACTTTCTTGTTGTATCCAGCATTATTATTAGCATCATCTTTAGGAGGCCTCATCTCCATGGAAGAGTCATTTTTACAACTAATAAAAGGTTCCTCTTCATGATACTTTCCAAGCACTGGAAAAGCACTCCTTAAATCACCGTCTTTTGAATCCATCTTACGTACTTCAAGGAGAGGAGATTTCCCTGTTTTCGTACAAGCACTTGAATTAATTTCATCTTCTCAAATGGTAAAAACTGATTATATTTTCAAACAGGCACCACTATACGGATAATGGTTCACAATTTTGTATAAGAAAATAACTAAATACCTGCAAGAATAGCATCTACAGTTGCTTCCAGTTTGTGATGAACTCGGCACTCAGTTTTGGATATCATCTCAACAGCACAAGTAAATGTGGGTGGTCCTTTCCTTTCAAGTATTGTTTTCTGCACTTTCCTTTTTCTAGCCTCCTCATCACCAAGTGTAACACTCTGCAAATAGATAACTTCAAAAAACTTAATGCTTATACAATTTAAGTGATATGGATATTTCTTCAAACTGTGCTCTTCAAAGAATAAATTCATGATTTCATAGTTGAATCATCACAATATTAGTAAAATCAAGCAGCGATGGCGCCTGATGTCATAGGCAAAAAATCTAGACTGGCCAGCATCTGAAAATACAGCAATTGAAAGATAATTATGCATGTGGTAATTTATAACACATGCATAGAGAAATACTAGAGTCCAAAATACACGCAAATTATTTTAATGTATGTCCAAGTATGTGTTGATATCAATCACACCATGAAAGAACACAGAGATTTGAGTCAGTTTCAGGTAATAATGGCAAAATAGGCCATTCATAATGGGGATGGGCTGGTGTAGCAGGCAAATTGGGCCTTTTGTGATCTGGATACGCTACTGGGTTACACCTTTGTGTAGCCACTATTAATCGTGATCTGACCTACTACAAGTACATACACAAAAGAATCCAACGACTCTCAGCTTTTCCCTTCCAAGATACTAAATTCCTCTCTATTCAGATGTCCAACAAGATTTTCCCATATGGTGCATGCATAAGGCAGGTGTATTGATTACAAATTCTAAACTAGGTAGTTGACAATCTGGTCTAATCAAATTACACAATTTATCTATCAAGGAACTTCCCGAATGTCCAATCACAAAATTTTCAGTTTTTCAAGATCAATGGAAAAATAAGGTGAAAGCTGATCAAACCAATGCACAAAGTATTGAAGCAAATAGATAACTCAAGCATAGAGAAGAATATCATCAGCTTCGCAGCAACGCAAAATGGTGAATGGAGAGAAATAATTTATACCTCTATCCCACCAACAAGTGCCTGTAGGCAAGGATTTTTTATTATGCTCTCAATTGTTACTCCGTGAGCTGTTCCAACAAGCTGCACACCTCTTTGAGCAATGGTACTTGCTGCCATTGCTTCAGGTTCTGTCCCAATTTCATCAATTATAATGACTTCTGGCATATGATTTTCAACTGCTTCAATCATGACCTGGAGAGGCATCACACATATAAGATCAGGATATGTACATTGACAAACAAATAGTAGTCCTTCCGGTGCATGAGATCTTCAGAATGTCAATTTCTTAACTGAAGAAAAAGTAACATATAGTAGTTCTTACATCGTGCTGCATGCTAACATTTGGAACTTGCATTCTCCTAGCACGACCGATTCCTGAATGAGGTACATCCCCATCACCTCCAATCTCATTAGATGTATCTACTATGACAACACGTTTCATGTGTTCATCTGCTAAAACTCTAGCTATTTCCCTGCAAGGTAAATAACTTAGGTGATGATGACATTAAGACAATAACTGCATAAAATTTTTACTCCATGAGACAACATACGATAACTCTATGACAGACACTTTGTTTAGTTGTCGCAGCATCATTTTCATCTCTCGAGTCAATTATTATACAGAAAGCAGGTCTAGCTGCTGATCACATTTCTAGTAAGAAGAAAGTTCCTTGAAGCTTTGCATTGTGGCTATGAGTCATAGAAGAGAAACAACTACTTGACAGAAAAAGGTGCCATTACAGAAAACCTAAAACCAGTTATTGGTAATATGCATATCCACGAGGGAGCCCTTTTTGTAATATCAATGTAGAGTCAGTGACTACATGATATGTGTGTGTGCCACACACAGTGCAAAAGAAAAGTCAATACAAGTTATGAATCTTAAAGTCTATTTGGTACTTCAATATGATCAAGCAATGTCTCATTCAGTTGATTGAAAGATAAATAAAAAGCAAAATTATTGATATGTCCAGCTTAAGAGATAATAATCGATAACTCACAAGAAACACATGCAGTACCTGATCAGAGTAGTCTTCCCAACACCAGGAGGCCCAATTACCAAGATAGAGCCTCCACCCTCAACCAAATCACGAATCATCTTGGCACTCCCAGATATAGCCCGACCGACTCGACAAGTGAGGCCAATTATTTGCATCTTCCGATTCCGAATGGCACTAATTCTGTGCAAGGAACGGTTGATGCCAGATCGATTGTCATCGGAAAAGTCACCAACCTGTGAACTAAAAGTTAAGTTTTATAATTGCAAACTACAAAATCACAAGTCACCATCCTGACGGAAAAACTATATTAATCTGAACTAAGAAAACATCCAATTCATATGTCACAATGAGTGTTGGTTACTAATATATGTCAATCCGTCGTTTCTGTAAGATGTAAATCATAGTCAAATAAAACTTCATGGTAGAAAAACCAAGTAGATCATAGCAACAAGATCAAAAGCTCCTTTTTGGATAGGAATTACCTAAAGCTAGAAAAGAGGACAAAGCAGATCAAAAACTCATTCGGAATCACCTTAGAAATGGCATGGCGAAGGTCCTCAAGCCCGACAGGCTCTTCCGACATGATCCAATCCCCGGACGGGAATCGTGCCACGGGCTTCCTCCCCAAATCCATCACCACCTCGATGAGCTCCCGGATCTCCTCGTGCCGCGCGAGCTCCCTCCGCATCCTCGGCGGGACCAGCTCCAGGAACAGCTCCAGCTCGCCATGGACCGCTGCGGCGGCAGTGGAAGCACCACCGCCGTCCGATCTCGACCGCGTCGGGACCGAACCATGGTGGCTCCAGAGGGAGCAGCGGTCGGCGTCGGGCCGGCGGATGGACGGCGCGACGGCCTTGCGGGGGCCGGGGGAGTGGCGGAACGAGGAGGAGGAGCAAACGATGAGGTTCGGGCTCTGCGTCTGGAGCTGGGAGAAGGCGTTCACGTGGGAAGAAGAGGCGGAAGCCAAAGCCTTCAACATCTCCCGACTTCGTTTGCTCCTTTTCTTCGTATCAGTTGTTGTTCTTATAGTTTCACTGAGATTTTTTGTCGAACGGGTGGAGCGCGGAAGACGTATAAGAAGAAGCAAGTACAGAGAAGGAATCAGATGGAGGAAGATGCGGAGGAATCTTTGAAGCGGAGGGGGGCCAAATGAAAGAGGAAGGCACGGAACGAACACATGGGGAGGATTAGGGGCGCGGGCTGCCCACCACATGTTCGATCGTTCGGTGGGGAAGTCATCGCTTCTCTTGTTCCGCGGCCGTCAGCTTGTGGCGCGCGACACGTCTGTCCCCACGGCGAGGACGAAAGGCTCCTCCTTGTCTTGACCAATGCAGGAAACACCCACTTCGCCCCTCTAGAAAACACAAGGAAGAGAGCACATTGGTCAATGCATCAACGTGGGTCCCACATTACTCTACGACTGTGAATTCCTGGTCCCTGAATTAGATGAAACAGGGGAGCGAGTAGCTTCCACCGAAGGAGTTTTACACGTTGCTCTTTCTTTGACGAGTTTGCCCCGTTTTGACCGGGAAGAAATGGCCACCTCGACTCAGCAATCGGCAGACCCAATAACGATCCGCCACGTCAACAGGTATCGATCTCATACGTGATGTATTGCGTATACTTACTAAAACCACACCGATCTCGTGCACGATATATCACACGAATATACTCGATTAAAATACGAATCATGCATCCGTGCATGTATTGGAATACATATAATTATGTTTATTCCGAATAAGAAATACATCAACCTTTTATAACAAATTAATTATTCACGATTTTAGAATAATATGATTAGTAACTCATCACGATCAATTTTTGAAATCATTAATGTAAATGCTTAGACGGATGATTCGATTAAATTTTTTTTAAATATCACGAATTATTATTTATAATTATTTTAAACATCATAAATCACGTTAAGGGGTTTGGTTTTTAGTGTGGAATATTCAAGATAAGCTTGAGGTCAATTTCAACTATTGTTAAACTTATTATAAGCTTTCTAATAAAAAAAATCAAGAAACATAAACATACACTTTATAATTTTGTCTGTGACAATACGTTAAATTCGAACGACGATAAAGAAATAAAATATTATATTTCACTAAAAGAATCCTTATTAAAAATAAAATTATAATTGAGATTAAAAAGATTTTTTCTGAAATTTAGAAAAACATAAAATCTACTTCCAGTAGCTAATTCATTTCCGTAATATTTGAAGATTAAATCTTATGTTTGTTTCAAATTTGCTTATATAATAACCATGTGAAGAAAACTAGGAGTAAAATAGCGTTGTATAATATTTTTACTACCACGTGAGGTTGCACGTGCATTATGATCTTATGCATGTAGTCGGAGTTTTAGTCAACGAGTGGGAAGAGTTGTCAACGGGCCCACCCGAATTGTCATACTTACATGAACCGTTTCGTTGCACCCAGGTGACGTACACGAGGAAGCTCCGCGAAGGTCACCCGGACCCACTGTTTTCTTTAATAAAAATAAGGTATCTTAGCGGGTAGGTAAGAATGTCTGAATTAGATGACTTCATTCATGTCATAAACCCCCAGAAATCGCCAGCAAATGAAACCCCCCGACTCAACCCAAGCCAGGCGATGGAGTCCCTCGCCCTGTCACGCCCACCGCCGCCTCGGCTGCCGGCGATGGCGAGGCTTGCCCCACTCGCCGCCTCCTTTCGCCTCCACCACCATTCTCCGGGGTCCCACGCTGGTGTCAGAAGAGGGCCACTTGTCGCTGCTGATGCCCTGCCTTCGTCTTCGTCGTCGGCTCACACGTTTCAGCCGGAGGCGATCTCTCTCGCCCCACCCCTCAAGAGTGTCTCGGTGGACTCTTTGCAGTACGAAAGCGGCTCCCTTGGGGGCATCTCCGAGAAGACCAAGCTGTCGCTGCCGCCACCGGGTGATGTAGGTCAAAACGGGGCGTTGAATCCGATGGAGTACCTGACGAGTATACTGACGTCGAGGGTTTATGATGTGGCGATCGAGTCGCCGCTGCAGCTGGCGCCGAAGCTATCGGCGAGGCTTGAGGTCGATCTTTGGCTCAAGAGAGAGGACTTGCAGCCGGTAACTGTTGCGGAATCCTTTTTTTATTTGATTGAAAGCCTAAAAAGGTGCCTTCTTCCTTTTTTGTGTTTTGATTATAGACCTTATTGTGGTTATTTGATCGATGTTTCCTACTTTCATTTTTGGACGCGATGTGGCAGATGCTTCGGCTTATGTCTCATCTCAAGCCACCAAGTGCCTTTTGCATCTATTTTGCCCTTAATGTAGGCATGATTATGGAAAAGATAGGGTTTTAGAGATTCTTTTCTTTTGTTGGTTGATCGAATCAGTATTATTCCTTTAGTTTCATAGAATCTAACCGAAATGCCTTTTTATTCCTTTTCCCAATTAGCTTTTTGTTCTTGATGACTGTCGTATGACTTAGCTGGTTTTGCCTAAGTCGTGCGGCACCCTTGCGTGTTCGTCCGCAAAGATCAGCCTCTCCGAAGCCTCCCATTGTCCCTTAGGACCAACAAAAAAGAGAACGGGTTAGAGAGAACGCTTCAATCGGGATTCACAAGCAAATATCTCCGATAAACACTTCATAGACAATGCAAATTATAAACAGACTTTACAAGCTCTGAACAGTTGCACACCAAAAGGTAAAATGGTCCATTACAGATCGAAAATCTCTCACACGTGTCCACATGACACAACCTTTATTTACAAGCCTAAAGAGATCATCAACCCTACTAAAATGAGACTATTAAGCCTTCGGTCATCCCTCTACATGTTGTACAAAGTATGAACATACCAAAAACACGGACATACATAAGCATTACATCAAACATCTTGTTTCGAAGTTTGTCCGTGATATTCTCCCCCACTTATTCCTTCGACGTCCTCGTCGAAGCCTTTGTCGACACTGCAACTCCTCGCCTTTGCTGAGTCTTCAATCTTCTGCTCCAGCTGCAATGCACCTCTTGGCTCCCAATTGCTCTCCGCTACTGTTTTTGAGTAGTCGAACCTTTGATCCGCCATGCTGCTTCAACTCACCAATGACTCTAACTCTGGTGTGGGGTTGGCTGAGTTGTGTTGATCCTTGTTGATTCCTGCGGATCCCCCAGATGAAGGAAAAGACCATCCTTACTGCGCCAGTCTCTCAAATTCCTCATGCTGCTTGAACTGGGTGGATGCTTGTTTGAGCTTTAACGAGCATCGTCTCGCAAACTTATGAAGTTTTGGGTCCTTCCTCCACAAAATTTACTCATTGACTCTTC